AGTCAATTAATGTTACCTTTAGTAGCCCTTACTGGCATGTAAATGGAATATACAAAGTTTTTTTTTAAAAAAAAATATTGAGCTTGGACACAAATGCACAGACTGTGTGGAATGCAATGGTCTTGTATGGGGGGCAGGTTACAGCCGCAGACTTGGAGAATTTGTTTTAAAATATATTTCCACCCAAACATGTCTGTGTCTATGTGTATTCAATATCCCTGACTATGAATCTGCATTCTGGAAAACAGTTTTACTGTGGCTAAGCATACACCAGATTTTCATAATTTTAGTTCATGGACAGACAGGCAGAAGACCAGAAATAAGAACTTGTTCACCAACATCTACCATGCAGTCTATAAATTTTACCAGTGGCTATGTTCTGTCATTAGGTACAATCCTGCCCTTAGTCAGAGTGAGGTTGTTGCACACTCTGTGCAGCACATTCTTGGGGTGCATCTACATGGTCAAAATAATGCAGTTTGACACCACTTTATGTGTTGTAGCGCCATCCTATGGATTCCTGGGATTTGTAGTTTTGCAAGGTCCTTAGTCTTCTCTGCCAAAGCATGCTGGTGCCTCACAAAACTGCAAATCCTAGGATTCTGTAAGATACAGCCATGGCAGTTAAAGTTATGTCAAACTGCATTATTTCTATAGTGTAGATGCAACCATAATGTCCTGAGAGGACAGGAAACTTCTCAATTCTCCCATTTATTATTATAGTATATACATGTATGCCACCATGGAGTCTAAAAAGAAACTTTTCTATGTCAAAAGAAGTTTAAATATTACCTTCTAGTCATAATGGCATAGTCCAAGGAATGGGTCAATCATTACAGTTGGAATTCATGAGGATGGGAGAACCAATGGAAGCATTCTACTACTGTAGACATGGCTGAGGGGGGCAGGTAAGAAAATACCCCCTCTTTGGATACCTGGGCAGTAAAAAAAAAACAACAAAAATCCAAGCAAGTTTTTGCAAAAGACATTTTGGTATTTGATGACTCCAGGATTGCCATTGCTAAATTCAGGGAGGGACCTCAATGGTACATTTTCCCCCAGGCCCTGTAATATAGCTCTCAGCAGCCCTCTTTGTGGATTGGTCCTTATTCTATAATGTTTGCACACTTGGGGACTAGAAAACTTTAATCACAGAAACAGATCCGGTTTGTGGTATGTGTCCTGTCTGTTACTGCTTACTATACACCTCAAGGAGCTCTGTTACTTACCTGGCCAAGTTAAATGAAAATGGAACTGCCAATAATTCCCTGCCTTCCCAACGAAATGCTGCTTCTAAAAATAACAAGGGAGAATAACATCTGTTTTTCTCATACGCATTACACATCTCCTTTTCTTTGGATGCAATCCAATTTGTTTCTCAGGGATAATACCTCAGAGCCTTGCAGATTATTCTGAAGGATAAAAAGTGTAAGAGGAGCCCTGCTGAATCAGGCCAAAGGCCTATCTTGGCTAGTATCCGCTTTCTCACAGTGGCCAACCAGATTCCCATGAGAAATTCACAAACAGGACATGAGGGAACGGCCCTTTCTCCCTAACACATGCAAAACTTGGAAAAGTTCTTTTTTTTTTATTACAACACCCCAGAATCTCCAAGGTAGCATGGACCTTGGCTATGCTGGCTGGGGGATTCTGGGAGCTGTGATAGAAAAAAACCATTGATCAAAACTCATTTTAGACCTCTGTGCATGTGCATGTCTGTGTGCTTGCAGACAATACACACACACACACACACACACACACACACACTAGGAATGATGTTTTGCACAAATGCATGCAAGATTGTTGGGTCAGATCTAATGAGGTGTCATGTCCAGTGTTAAAGTGATGGTTGTCCCAGCTCAATGAGCAATGAAAAAGTGAATAGAAAGAGAAAACCTATGCCTCAGTTTGCATGGCTGTTTAATCTTCAAGATGACAGGATCGTGCTAGTGGTGGTAGTGATGATGATAATATGCAACCAAGTCTTTAAATTTAATCTTCTGCTTCAGAGCTCTTGTGGTGTGCATTGGTGATATAAAAGAGGATCTGAAGCGCTGTCATGTTGCTCTAAGATTAATGCTGTGGAACCTTTAACCCTCTGGACATTTTGGACAACTTCAACAATCCTTTCTCCTTGGCCAGTCTGGCCAGATCTTCTGAGTGGTGAAGCCACAACATATGGAAGGGCCAAATATTCTCCGCACCCCAGCTCTACGACTCCAAGCCAATTTATCTTGCCATAGCTCTCCTTTTTGTTTTGTTTTTAAATCCAGCCAAGGCAAACACCTTGGCAAGCAACCTCCTTCTGAGGCCAATGAACTGCATACAGTACCACCTTCTTCATCATGCAGATGTTAAGTCAGGACCCATTAGGATAACAAGCTGCTTCAGGCTTTATGCATCCTTTGCCTAATGTCCTTGGCGTTCATTCCCAGCCAGGTTACATCACCAATTTTAGACACAAATCTTCATCATTTTTGTTGTTGTGGGAATCTCCTACACATGTCTGTCCAGCTTTTTATAGCAACAGTAAAACCCCTCTTTGGGAACAGTTATGATGAGGTATAGGATTTGTCTCGGACTGGCGATGGGTGTAACTTTTTCCTGTTCTTGGATTTCCCTTCCCCACACACCCTTCCTTTTTGGCAAGCTTGTGGGCTAAGGCTTCCCATTTTGAAAATGTTTTTAGGTCCTTCCCCATAAAGTTCCACAACAATAACTAATGGCATATTAGATAATATATAGTGAGAACCTGTCCTAAAATAGTCCAACAAGAGAAGCTCTTTGAGGGGAAATACTTAGATATATTAAGTGACTGGATCTATTAGTTGATTGAAAGCCCATCACTTTTTTTTACCTTGTCTTTCAATCCAACAGAGCCTCCAAAGCCATGTACAGTAAAAGCATAATAATAAAGGCAAAAAAGAAAAAGGAAAAAAGAAAAAAGAATGTTCTTTAAGAACAGGACAAAACCAAATTAAAACCCAAAGGCCTGTTGAAATGACAGAATTTTGACAACTTGTCAAAAATGCAGTAAGGATGGAGCCAGCCTGATTTCTCCTGAGTCGAAATGATGCTACAGAGAAAGCCATGCCTCATATATTCACCCACAAACTCTTTGGGATGGTGGGACATGCAGCAGACTCTCTGTTGAAGATTTCAAATTATGAGAAGGCTGAAACAGAAAGAAGATACTGTATTCTGTTCCCACATTGTTTAAACCTTTGTAGATCAAAACCAGTAACTTGAACTGAGCTTGGACGTAAACTGGGAGCCAGTGCAGTTGGTCCAAGACTGGTGATATATGTCTACAACAATGCACAACAGACAACAGCCAGGAAGTCACATTTTGCATTAACAGCAACTTACAAACATTTTAGAAGGGCAGATCCATGTAAAGCACATTGAAGTCGTCTAACTGAGATGCAATTCAAGAATGAATTGCTATAGCCAGCTCTGTCTTCCCTTGGTGTGGCCTCAGCTAGTACACCAGCAAAGGCATTCCTGGTCACAGCAACTATTTGAGAGCAGTTCTGAACCTAAAACACCCTCAATGAACTAGGTATTCAGAGGGAGTATGACTCCATCCAGAACTTCTAATATAATATTTAATAAGAAGAAATTGAAAAATAGCTTTCTTAGCAGTGTAAAAAAGGATGGAGTGGGGGAACCAGGAAAGTGAATTCAACCCAGAAATAGGGAAGTATTTTTTTTAATTACTACATTTGCAGCTTGCCTTTCCTCCAGAGAGTCTCCCTGACTCTATTGTATTTTCAGAACTATATACACATGCATCCCACTAGCAGGGAAAAATAATAAATGTTCCCAGAGAATGTGTTCCAGAGTTGATCGGCTACTGCCAAAAAGCCCTCCAAGACTCAGGATGAGGGGCACTTCAGGCCCAGGTAGGTTTAAACGGTTCAAAAGAATTCCTTCAGGCCTTGAGAACGCATGGTCTACAGAGTTTTGCTGGTTAAAGCAACACTTTGAATTGAGCCTAGAAACAAGTATTTTTTTGACAGCAGACTTATGACTGAAGCTTCAGGGTGAAGTAGTATGCATAATTATTTGGGATCACAGAATTGGAACAGCTACTAAGGAAGGTTAAAGAGGAAAGTGCAAAGACAGGATTAACATTGAAGATAAAGAAAACTAAAATAATGACCAAGAAGAAATATATAAATTCAGTCTAGACATTGAGGAAATCAAAATAGTCAGAGAATATCCATTGACCAGAGGGGTGATGGCAGTCAAGAAATAAGAAAACTAGGAATGGGTAGGGCAGCTATGAAGGAATTAGAAAAGATCCTCAAGAGTAAAGATATAAAACTGAGTACTAAAGTCAGAATCATCCAGGCCATTGTATTTCCCATTGTCATGTGTGGATGCAAGAATTGGACAGTAAAAGAAGCAGACAGAAAGAAAATCAATGCATTCAAGATGCTTAGGATACCATGGACAGCCAAAAAGACAAACAGATGGGTCCTTGAACAGATCAAACTAGCCAAGATTATTAAATTGAGGCTGACGTAATTTGGCCATATAATGAGAAGGCATGGATCACTGGAAAAGACAATAATGCTAGGAAAGGTAGAGAGGGTAGAAGAAGGAGGGGAAGACCATGTACCAGATGGATGGACTCAATCAGGGGAGCCACAGGCATGGGTTTGCATGGTCTGAGCAGAGCAGTGGAGGATAAGGAGTCTTGGCGGTGTCTCATTCATAGGGTTGCCATGAGTTGGAGTCATCTTGAAGGCAGTTAACAAACAATAAAAGTTAAATGGAGCTCAGTCAAACTGACTTCAGAGCACACATGAATAAAATCATGCTGCTAGTTGGTCAATTGTGTAGCTGATATTGATCAGCTTAGGCACAGAAGCAAACACATTATAGTCATACGAGCAAAAACATTCAAATAAGGAACTTGAGCAAAATAAGGAAGTACCAAAGATGTTAAACCCAATTTCTAAAATAGGTCCAGCACCTTGGATGGCATGAAAGCCAGTGTGGCATAGTGGTTTGAACATTGGATTATGACTCTGGAGACCAGGGTTTGAATCCCCGCTCAGCCATGGAAACTCACTGGGTGGCCTTGGGCAAGTCACACTCTGTCAACTTCAGGGGAAGGCAAAGGCAAAAACCCCTCTGAACAAATCCTGCCAAGAAAAAACCATGATAAGTTCCCCTTAGGGACTTGACACCACAACAAAATTTGGACAGTTCCTTTAAAGTTCAGGCTGAAACCCAGAGTTGATGCACCATCCCACTGACATGGAAACTGCCAGCACTCTATGCAAATAAGATCATATTAATAATAATAATAATAATAAGTTTTATTTCTAACCCGCCCCTCTGCGTCGCAATCGGGGCGGCGTACAACAATTAAAATACAACAGTTAAAACGATCCAAATCCCAATCCCTCCTCCCACTTCCCTCCCACACCCCTTAAAACAGGATTAAACTTAAATTATATTAAAACAATGACAATATGTCAATAAAATACAATAAAAACAACAAATGCAAACGAGCGGCCAGACAGCAAGAGCTAGAGGGGGGGAGAGATCACTATTGATCAGAGAGATCAGAGCTAACTATTAATGTTGGCTCTGATGCTTAAATTAAGCTGTGCTTCCAGATTTGTTGTTGAATTTTCTCAGGTGGCACAGTTCCCTATAGGGAGAATGCATACTCCTAAAAGAAAGGCCCTTACATTTCTAACCCTGCAAATTTAACAGAGTATTTTGGAGACAATGATTCTGATGTTTGAGAGCACAGCAGTGGCAAAGGAAAAGATGGATTTGTTAAAATGCTGTTATGTATTGGGCAAAGTTCTAAAAATTATGCAGAGAATGTTAATCTTGGCCCCTGCTGTGGAGTTATTGGGATTAATTAGGGGCCATGCTGGAGTCAAAAGCCTGGCAAATAGATGTAATCTTAACAGCAGCCAAGCTCATAGAATTGGGAGTGGGGCAGGGCAAAGGGGAAGGATATCTGAAAATAATTTTTAGTATTAGAGACACAAACAAATTAGCTAGCTACATTTTTTTGAAAACAGGGTAACTCTTAAGTGAAGCTCTTCTGGGTGAATGACAAACATTGCACTGATTATTGGTGGAAACATAATAATGGTAAAGGACAGAACGATATAATGGAATTGTTGGAGAGAGGGCAGGATATATATAATATGTCTCACTTGTGTGAAGCTCTATCATTTCACACCAGGGGTGAGCAAAGTGCATGAGGTCCCCAAGGCTGTTTTTGAGGTCTTCAACCCATTTAGATTCCTCACACCTTTTTCTGGACAAAAAAGGGGGTGATTTGTTTCACCATTTAAAATAGATTGCACCCCTCCCACTATTTAACATTGCTCAACTTTCTTTTTAAAGTATGCAAAGGGTTCTTGTCACACCTTTGAGACTAACTGAAAGAGAGGAGATGGTAGCATGAGCTTTCCTAGATTTGAGCCTATTTCTTCAGACGCATGTGAATTTCTAGCTGCTTGCAGAATTTTTGTTGAGTTTTGGGTGGGGGTATTTTTAGGCAATGAAGACACTGATATAGTTTGAGATTTTCATTTGTAAGCTCAATTATTAATCAGAATGGAGACAGCAGTCGAGAAATCAGAAGAAGACCAGGACTTGGAAGGGCAACTATGAAGGAACTAGATAAGATCCTGAAGTGCAAAGATGCATCATTTAATACTAAAATTAGGACTATCCATGCCGGTGGCATCATTAGGGTTGGTGTCAACCCAGTCCAGTAACTCATGGTGTCACCCCCAGGCAGGCAGCCACCCCACAGCTCTGGTGAGTGGGAGCTGCCAGCAGAGGGAAGGATCCAGCTTTGGTTGCCTCCCTCTACC